AAATAAATGAAACCCTGTCTCAAAAAAAAAAAAAAAAACAAAAAAACAAAACAAAACAAAAAAGAGGGATCATATGAATTTGCTTTCTCTCAGGGTTTAGTAATGCCCTTCTGAAATCCCACTATTTGGGAAGTAGAGGTGTGAGGTCAGTAGCTCAGCTACTTAGTGATTTTGGCACTCGCTTAGGCTACACAGTCGCAAATTTAGAGAGAGAGAGGGGGGGGTCAGTGTTGGAGAGATGGCTCAGGCTAAGAGTACTTCCTGCTCTTACAGAGTACCCAGGTTTGGATCCTAGCACTTACATGGTGGCTCAGAGCATTTGTGCCTCCCAAGTTGCAAGGGATCTGGTGCCTTCTTCTGCCTCTGAGTGCCCCCACGTGAATGCGGTGCATATAAACTCATGCAAACAAGCACATGTACATGTACTAATTAATAGACTAACTGATTCACTTTTAAAGCTGGGTATGGTGACTCACACTTCTAGTCTTAGTACTCAGCAGTCTGAAGTGGGAGGGCTGAGGAAGATTACTGCAAATTTTAAGTCAGCCCGGTCTATGTAGTGGGTTGCAGGATAGTCTGAGCTACAGAGTGAGAGACCCTTCCTATCTAAAGGAACTATGCAGAGAATTCAAATATGCAGTGGTGTAGTGGCAACATGGTTATAGCTGGAGTGGCCCGAAAGGACCCCCCACCTTGGGAAGGACTATTTTTAGTTTAATTCTGTATGAAAGAAGCAGCCACACAGGAATAGGCAATGCAAAAGGAGCACAAAAGAGCCCACTGTAACTAAAGAGAGTGCATCAGGCCAATGCTTCCCATGCTAACCTTTGCAGCAGAACTGCCTCTTTTTTTTTTTTTTTTTTTTTTTGAGACAGGGACTCACCATGTAGTCTACTCACGGCTAGCTTGGGATTGGCTATGTAGACCAACACAGCCTCAAATTTGTTACATCCATCCTGCTAGGGTCACAGTTGATGGGAGCACTTCCCAAAACCATTTAGGGAATGGTGAACCAGTTCAGTAGGTAAAGATACTGTCACCAGGCTTGATCTGTGATGGAAGGAGAGAACCAACGTTCTCTCCCGCGGTTGCTCTTTGACTCCCCCGCCACACACACAAGAATTAAAAATAAAGAGTGTGAGTCAGATGCTAAATCCTTTGATAAAAATAGTGAAAATCAATATAGGTATGCTGGCTGTCAACAACCGGGCGTCTTTGAGGGAAGTCTATACTTAACATGGAATAAACAGAATGCAGTTATAGGCAGAAAGTGTAGGCTGAGATTTGTGGGCCTGAAAATTTTGGGTTGAGGAAAAATATGGATGGAAGACAGATTAGATGTCCATCCTAAAGATTCTAATTGACAGGCAGATCTCTGTGAGTTCGAGGCCAGTCTGGTTTACAGAGCTAGTTCCAGGACAGGCTCCAAAAAACTACAAAGAAACCCTGTCTTGAAAAACAAAAACAAAACAAAACAAAAGATTCTAATTGAGATATTAATGAAAACTCTTCTAGAATGACTAGAGCCTTGAGTTTTTAACAACAGTCTCTGGATGAGGACCAATCTGCAGGGTGCTCTCTGGGCATCAAAGCCAGGAACAAAGGTATCCTCTGTGACTTTGCTCCCAGCAGCACCTGTTTGGTAATGCCTGGCTCCTATCCCTGGCTCCTAACGACCTCTTCATCCACTGGTACAAAGCGTGATCCTAGTTGGCCTCCCTCTATCCGGGCCTCAACGTTTTTTCTCTGCAGCTGCTTCTCTGTATCTCAGAAGCGTCCTTTTCCTTTCTGTACCCTCCTCGGCTGAGTATTCTGGAATCTCTAGTTGGGCTGTTTGCAGCTCCGCGGTAGAGTACTTGTCCTACGGGTACAGGTGCACGGACTTGGGGTTTGGTTCTATCACTGAAATTTTTTTTTTTAAAAGGCTGTTTCTCTGTCCCTTTCGTTGTCTGTCCTGTAACTTTGTCTTTCTCCAAACAAACTGTGTCCTCCTGGGAAGTATGGACCTGTTATTATTCCTCTGTGTGTCTGTGTCTGCAGGACCTGGTAGAACCTGGCAAATAGGAATCGGTTTCGCTTACACTTGAAAACTTTACTGAGAAAGGGACTCAGTCTCTGTCTTCGTCCCGTCTTGCTCTGGTGGAGCTGGCTGCATGTCAAATGGTCAGCTAGAGAGCAGGGTAAAGCAGTGCTGTGATACTATGCAGGTGCCACCAGATTCTTTCTACAAACAAAACCCGGCCACGACTTTTCCCTTTCCGGGGTCCGGGAGCTGCAGGCCATGCTCACCGCCCCCCCAGCCCCCACTTCCCTACCCCCCCCCCACCGTGCGGGGCCGCAGCTCCCCGCCCCAGTAGGCGGCTCTGTGCGGGCCAATCAGCGAGCGCATGTGCAAAAGAGCCTAAAAGCCCTCCTCCGGTGGCGAGACCGGTGCAAGATGGCTGCGGCGTGTCGGAGCGTGAAGGTAGACTGTCCTATGCCTCTAACGTTTTGTTTTTCACGCAGGTTAGGACTGCGCTGGCAGGAGCTAGAGAGGGGAGATCGGGAGTAAAGGGTCCTGCTTATCCGGGCCTGGTTTTGTGGCAGTTGGGCTCAGGAGGTGAACACCAGCGTTTACCTGCACGTGTGTGAGGGATTAACAGAGACTCATGCCTGGGGTGAGACACGCCCCCCCCTCCCCCTCCCCTTGGTCCCAGCGGAGGGGAGAGGAAGCACATTGGGGTCACTGACTGTCCCCGCGTCTTCGCGGATTCGTGGAACTGGCAAGTGGGGGGGTGCTTTGGACAGTAGCAGTTCACCGTGTACCTCTCTTCATAGGGCCTGGTCGCTGTAATAACTGGAGGAGCCTCGGGCCTTGGCCTGGCTACGGCCAAAAGACTGGTGGGACAAGGGGCCACAGCTGTGCTTCTGGACCTACCTAACTCGGGGGGTGAGGCTCAAGCCAAGAAGTTGGGAGAGAGCTGCGTGTTTGCCCCAGCCAACGTGAGTTACGACTCTCGCAGAGTGTGCAAGGGAAACTTGAGAGAGGGGTTCTCCCATAAGAGTGGTGTCTAGGGTCCGTCAGATGGCTTAGCCAGTAAAAGCGCCTGCTGCTATCCGTAACAACCTGAGTTTGATCCCCAGGACCCACATGGTATAAGAAAAGAACCGACTCTGACCTCCACACGTGTGCCCTGGCACAAACATACAAATAAATCATTCAGCTCCCTTTATCTTTTGACTCGAGTCCTTGAGCACATGAGAACACCTGCAATAAGAACCCGGGGCTCAGCATGATGGGGACGAGGACTGGACACGGCAGAATTTCCTGGAGGAGATGTGGATAGTTGGAAATGCCTGTCTTGCCCAGTGAGTTTGTATGTACAGAGTTGAAAAACTTGAACTCAGCAGAAATGGATTTTTAAAAAAGCTGGTTCATGTTCCTGTAATTCTCAACAGGGTTGTATTGGAATATACCTCAGTGGTTAAGTTCTTGCCTAGCATGTGGGAGACTCCTCAGTTTGTCAATACTGCAAAAGAGAAAAGGCAAAAACAAGGTTGTAGAGTGCCCTAATCCATAGTAGCTGAGAATTACCAGGGGCATACGAATCCAAAGAGAGTACAGATTTAAAAACTGTTTTGCAATGCTTTTCTGTAGTACCTACCATGTTCCGCTTAGTTCCGCCACAACCCTCTCTTGGCCTTCCTCTTGCTCTTGCTCTCACAATTCTATTCCCATCCAAGCACTGGGCTTGCCCTCTGCTCTAGGTTTAGTGGTGTGTGTATATCAAGAAATAAATTCCTTTCTGTCACTTCATCCTTTCAAGGTGACCTCTGAGAAGGACGTACAAGCAGCTTTGACTCTAGCGAAAGAAAAGTTTGGTCGCATAGATGTGGCTGTCAACTGTGCAGGTATTGCAGTGGCCATTAAGACATACAACCAAAAGAGGAACCAGGTCCATACCTTGGAGGACTTCCAGCGGGTTCTCAATGTAAGGCCTTGGCAGATCTCCAGGGGTAGGGATAAGAAATGTCTGGTTGTGGGCCTTCAGCTTTTTAAACAAACAGAAGGCAGCCTCTACCTTAGATCCTACATCATGGTTCGCCCCACCCTCCAGGTGAATCTCTTAGGCACTTTCAATGTGATCCGCCTAGTTGCTGGGGAGATGGGCCAGAATGAACCAGACCAGGGAGGCCAACGTGGAGTTATCATTAATACTGCCAGTGTGGCTGCCTTTGAAGGCCAGGTATGTGGACAGGGGCAAAGTTCTTATCTGAATGACTTGTGGGGGCTCTCTCACTTACAGTCTCCACTTTTTTTCCAGGTTGGACAAGCTGCATACTCTGCATCCAAAGGGGGCATAGTAGGCATGACACTGCCCATTGCTCGGGATCTGGCTCCCATAGGCATCCGTGTGATGACTATTGCTCCAGGTAGACCTTTCTTTTTTGCCATACCTAAAATTGGGTGGATCTATAGGCAGATGAGGGAAGGTACCCACTCCCTAAATATCAGCAACTCAGCACTAACGTGAGGAAGAAACAAGTAACTCCGAAAACAAGAATGAACTTTGGATTCTGGTCTCTTGTCTAGGTTTGTTTGCCACCCCACTGCTCACCAGCCTTCCAGAGAAAGTGCGCAACTTCTTGGCCAGTCAGGTGCCCTTTCCCAATCGACTGGGTGACCCTGATGAATACGCTCAGATGGTACAAACCATCATCGAGAACCCATTCTTGAATGGAGAGGTCATCCGATTGGATGGGGCCATTCGAATGCAGCCTTAAAGGGTGAAGACAGGAAAAATACTAGCTTCTTTTCAGCGTGAAGGAAACCTAACAGCCATTTCATAACTCTGCTCCAGTCACCCTCTGTGCCTAATAAATTCTCAAATTTACAGGGTGTGAGCTTTCTTGTGTACTGGGATACTAACATGGGGAAAGAAAGAGTGCAGGCTCTGAGGCTGGATAGCTAAGAGCCCCAGCGTGGAGTGGGAAAGGTGGTATTTTACACTTGTATTCTGTTACAACACACGCTTCACTGTATGGAGCAACTTTATTACTTAGGGTAGGTAGAAAGTGAAGGTTTGTGCTCAGTTCCCTCCTACTGAGAAGAGATTGGAGATAGGGGTATGCAGTATTTTCTTTTTGACTCCTAGCCACCTGTGAGATTGATAGGTGAGAAAGGAGGTCACCATCCTGTGTTCAGCGGCTGGTGGTGTTGAACTGCAGAAAATACTGGGCAGTAGGTTGGTTGGTGTAGATGATCGAATTCAGATAATTTTGCCTGTGAAAATTCAAGGACACAGGTGACGTGCTTTCCCTTTCCCTGGTCCTTCCTTATCATCCCTTCCACCTACCCTCAGCCTTCCTCCCCACTGATACACCCTAGAACTCACTGGGTTTGTTGCTCCCTAGCTAACTCCTGGTTGAAGGAGCCCAGCCCCCTCCGGAATTCTGCACACAGTTCCTTCTCCTGTTCCTCTAGCTCCAGTGCTGCTTCAGCCAGGTTGATGGTTTGGCGTCCCCACTCAGCTTCCACGGACTTTTCTGCTTGGCGCTGTTCCTTTTTCTCTTGTCGTTGTATTTCTTGGGTTTTCCTGATGGCTGCTCGCTGCTCTGGAGTCATGCCCTTCCAGCAATAGGGCAGGACCCTGTGAGGAGCGTTGGGGCGCTGGGCAACCTGAGGATTCTCAGTCAGCAGATCACTGGTGATTTGTTTCTTGATCTCCGTGAGGTTGGCCTCCTGTTGCTGCTGCTGTTCACGGCGCTGCAGCAGGGCCTGCTTAGCTGCCTGGTGGGTCCCCCAAATATAAGCAGTGTAAGGGCCCAGTCTTAAGAAACTTACTTGAAGAGGTGGGAAAAATACAGCTGTACTAATCTCAGAGAAGGGAGAGACGTAGCGTGGATTTTTAATGACCCTAAGGGTATGATGGAGGGGAGAGAATGGCCAGGGCATTTCTCTGCATTTAGTCTGAGATCAGGGATCTTAAGTCACCCTGTATGTGGAGGTAGGGGGAGAGGCGACTTATGCTTTAATAGGCTCTTAGGTGGAAGTGGGGAGTTCTTGGGTAGATGAGAACACTTGCACTGGTTTGAAATTGGGTGTGAGGAGAAAGTTGTGGGTAAGGTTCCCCCAGGACTTTGTTCAGGAATTGGGGTGGGCTTAGTGCACTGGATAGTCAGGACATACCTGGGCTTTGTTGGCATTGGCCATAGCAGTCCTCATGGCTGCTTTGCAGGACTCCTCCAGCCTGGCCAGTTCAGCAGCTCTTGTGTCCACGGCTAGGCGCAGCTGCTCACTAAGCAAAGCTACACAGGGAAATAGGCCAGGGCATTGTACTTGCCTCTTCTAGTCGCCAGTCCAGGTTCACTCATTATCTATTTGTTTGACATACTTTATATTTGTGTATACAGATGTGTCAAAGTTGGAAGGAGTTACTCTTTGGGGTCACGGGTAGCTAAAGCACAGCAACTTGGGGAACAATGTAGTTCTGTCATATTGGAGCTGTGTGGCCTTAAGTAATTTCATCTCTCTAAGCCTCGGTCTACAGGTTATATGTTAGGTTTTAAGGATACCACAGAATTAGCTCCTGTCTCAGAGAACTTCCTGCCTAGTCCAGTGTGGTGGTGTATGCCTATAATTCCAGCACTTGGGAGATAGAGGCAGGAAGATCAGAACTTCAAGGTCATCCTTGGCTATATAGCAAGTTCAAAGCCAGTGTGTTTCATGAGACCCTGTCTCAACACTCCCCACGCCAAGAAAAAAATCCTCCCTCTCTGGTGTGAGAGAGAGAGAGATCAAATAGATAATCAGACTACAACAACCTGGTAAGGTGAATGGCAGAGATGCATATAAGTATATTAAAGGTTTTGGGTGCTGAGAAAATAGCTCAGTGGTAGGAGTATGTACTTAGCATATATGATGTCTTGGATTCTATCCCCAGGGCCAAAACAATAACAAATTGTTGAAGTTCAGAGATCAAGAGGAAAATGGTATGTCAGCCACGGCCACAGCATCAACAAAGCTACTAAATTTTTCCCAACTCCAGCCACACATGGGTCTCATTGTTCTTAGGCCCCATCAGACCTTGGTGATTGAAAGTTGAAATGTGAGTAGAAAGACATGGCCTTACCCGGGAAAGGTTTTCTCTAGTGAAAAAGAAGGGTGTGGTCACAGACTGTATCATAGTAGTAGTTGCTATTCTATGTGATGGAAATTATAATCCCTATTTTAAAGACAGAAACTGAGCTGTCAAGGTGGTGCATGACTGGAACCCCAGTATTCATGGGGCTGAGGAATGAGGATTAATGAGTTCAAGCCCACCCTAGGCTGTATCTACATAGCAAGAGCCTGTCTCATTAAATAAAAGAAAGACAAACTCAGTTATGGAGAGCCCAAAGCTGAAAGTAAGTAGAACCATAAAATGCTTCCCCCAGGTCAGTGCCAAGAAGTCATGAATAATGGCTACAGTGTCAGTTGCTGAAGGAAGTCAAGGAGGTTAGGGTTTGTAGAGGCTAACCTTTCTGCCTCGGCTGGATGGGTAACTACCTCCTTACACAGTGCTATCCCCAGATCAGGTGAGCTCCCTGCTAGCCTACTGACCTGCACGCACCTCCTCTTCTCTGGCTGCCTGTTGCTCCTGCAGCTGTTTGTCCAGGTTGTATCTGAACTGCTCCTGCTGCATTTTCAGGCGTGACTCCCTCTCCAGGTCCTCTCCAAGGAAGTACTGCATGCTGGCTGGGCCAAAGTATGGTTCTCTGTCATAGTAAGAGGCTGGACACTTATAGAGTTGGTTGGGATCCCAGAAGTCAAAGTCATGCCCATTCTTGAGTTGCTGTCTTTGCTCCCGAAAATCCTGCACTCTCTTGGATAACCGACATGCCCGTTCTGCCTCTTCCTTCTCCAGCATCTGTGCTACCAGATCATAATGTGCTTGCTTGGTATCTAGGAGTGATTGACAGGGACATGAAGACAACCCAGAACAGAGCCCAGTCAACCAGTCTCTGTTCCTCAACTGACTTGTCTTAACATTCCCAGAGCCCCAGGCTCTATTCAGAGGAGGAGTCGCCCAACTCTAACCCACTCTCTCTCATTTATACTTTTGTTTTGCCCCAGCCTTAGTTTACCATAAGCCATATCATTGCTTCGCTCCACTGCTTCACGAATCTTTCGTTCCTCCACCTGGCTGTTCAGGGCTTCCACATCCACCTGGATCTCAAAGAAAGGGGCTAAATTAGAGTAGGGTCTCTGCACGGTACATTGAATGCTCTAACATGCTGTTTAGAAATTACCCCCTTCTCTTTAGGACCTACTGGATAAAGTTCTAACCCCAGAACAAAGCTTGTAAACACCATTGTGGTCTAGTTGCTGCTTTTGCCTTTATCTTTTTGTGCCCCCTTTCCCTGCCCCCTCACATTAGTCTCAGGAACTGTTAGTATTTAAGTCTAGTGGTTTGAACCCACAGCCTTTGCTGTTTCCTCCATTTGGAAAGCCTTTCCTTCCTTTACCCCAACTTCAGTTTACCATTCAAGACTTGCTCAGGAAGGTTCTATCCCATAATCTAGGATCCACTGTCCAAATTGTAATGACATCAGATGCCCTATTATCTCCTCCACTAGGCTGTGAGCTGTTTCAGGGTAGAAGTTAGGCCTTAGCTATCATATTTCTCCACTGTCCAACATAGTACTTGGTATAGGGTGGATCCCAAGGAAATTCTTGCAACCAGGAGATCAGACCACTCAAACTTCAGTTTGCTTATGGTCAGGTAGTATGCTCTGATTTTTCAAAGTTGACATCTCAATGCTTTATTTGGTCTCATTTTACAGAGGAGGACAGGATAGCTTACATATCATAAAGCCACATACATAATAGCAGACTTAGCTTTGAACACAAGTGTGGTGTCTTTTTTATTAAAGTAATCAATACTTTCTCTTTCATTGTAAGTTACTTAAAACATTTCAAAATGGTACAAAAGGGCATACAGTTTAGTGAAGAATAAACAGCTGTGAAGGTTAATATTGTCAACATGGTCTGGTAAGATGCTTCAGTGGATAAAGTTCAGGCCTGAGAGAGTCTGATACCAGAGAGCTACATCATGGAAGGAGAGGGCCAACTCTTACAAGTTATCTTTGGACCTGCACATTCACACTGTAGCATGTATATACCACATGCCCCTCCCAAATAAATAATACTAGCATCTAGAATCACTTAGGAGAGAAACCTTTGGACATGTCTATGTCTATAAGGAAGTTTCTAGATTGGATCATTTTAAGTGGGGAAACCTGCCTTAACTGTGGGCAGTACCATACCATGAATTAGGGTCCTGTATTGAATAGAAAGGAGAAAGTGAACTGAATTCTGCTTCATAACTGTGAGTGCAAAGTGGCCAGCCCCTTCCTGCTTCTTCCCCCCATAATGGATTATATACTCAAATTGAGCCAAAACCCTCCTTCCTTGTATTGTCAGGCATTTTGTCATAACAGGAAAAATAACGAATATAACTGTCATATTTAGCCTTGCAAAAACCCCTTAAATATTCTTTACACACTGTTGTGGCTCCATGTTGTTTCTCAAGAACCAGTTACAGTCCAAGAGTTGACCAAAGAGGAGCCAGCTGTCACCCTATCGTTTGTCCCTGCACAATTCTGACTCTTCCTAAGCCTGTCCAGGCATATGAAGTTGGCTCCCCAGCTCCTTCCTTTCCACTCCTACGGCCTTCTTGAATCCAGAGGGGCTATAATGCACAGCTACATTCCTTTCTAGGTGTAAGAGGGAAGTAACCCCAGTCTTGTAAAGTGGTTTCCATTACCCACTCACCCCCATGATTCGGTTCTGCACATTGAAGAATCGGCATTGTCGCTCCTTTTCTCGATTTTTTCTAGCCTCAATGGCTGC